TCCTTACCATGATTAGAACTCTGTGGGGCGGTCTTGCTAGCAGAAATACTGGAGTCGATTACTAATAATCTTAACTTAGCCCACCGTACAACTCAGATGTGGACGGATTCGACCATCGTCCGGGCTTGGCTACGAAAACCACCGTGCTCATGGTCAACCTTTGTTACACATCGAGTAACAAAAATAATAGAAAAGGTCGGAAAAGAAAATTGGTGTCATGTAGATTCAACATCAAATCCGTCAGACTTAGCCAGTAGGGGACTTCCGGCGCAAGAATTAGTAAACAACTCCCTGTGGTGTGAGGGCCCTTCTTGGCTGCAAGAAGATAACTCCAAATGGCCCACTCAAGAAAAGGACTATAATACAGTTATAGAAGAGAAAAGGGTGCAGGTACTCGCAACTACAATGTCAGATATCGACTTTGATATTATTGAAAGATTTTCTGATTTCTCGAGAGCTTTGAGAGTTTTATCTTATGTAATGAGATTCTCTCAAAGAACTCACCCAAAAACTAGAGCGTTATTTCAGGCGAAATCTTATTCAATTTCAGCTGATGAAATTAAAGCAACGACTCACCGCTTGATAATCATCTGCCATAAGAAGCATTATTGGGAAGAATATTCAGCACTAAAATCCGAAACATCAATAGGTCAAAAGAGTGAAGTACTAACCCTTAACCCATTCATCGATAAAGACGGTATAATGAGGACAGGTGGTCGCCTAGGAGCATCTCGTGATCTCGCCTATAACGAGCGTCAACCAGTTATCCTGCCATACAACAGCCACTTGTCCCGTCTGATAGTTCAGTTCGTTCACAAAGTTTCACTGCATGGTGAGAATCAGCTCATGTTGCGCCTGATTCGAACACAGTATTGGATACCTAGGGTCAAAAACTTGATACGGTCCACCATTCATAATTGCAAGGTCTGCACAATTTATAGAAAACGCGTGCAAACGCAGCTAATGGGAATTCTTCCCAAGGAACGCACTACATTCTCACGAGCATTTAGCATTTACAAACTCGGGAGTCGACTTTGCAGGACCTTTCGACACAAAGAGTTACAGCGGACGAGGATGCCGGATGTCCAAAGGATATGTGTGCCTGTTTGTGTGCTTTGCGATTAAGGCGATCCATTTGAAAGCCACCTCAGACCTAAGTACTCAATCCTTCTTAGCAGCATTTGCTAGGTTCATAGCAAGAAGGGGCTGTCCAAGAAATGTCTACTCCGACAATGGCACTAACTTTGTCGGAGCCTCTAGAACTTTGAAATCAGAGTTTAAAGTCTTTATGGCCAATGCCCGCGGTGACACCTTAGCCAAATATGTCCATCAAATGGTTTCATGGCACTTTATCCCCGCTTCAGCTCCCCACATGGGCGGACTGTGGGAAGCGGGAGTTAAAAGCTTCAAAAGCCACTTCACTAAAATTGCCTCCAACCATAAATACACATTTGAGGAATTTACAACCCTATTATGCAGAGTGGAATCATGTCTCAATTCTAGACCCCTGAGCCCCTCTTCAAATCAACCAGCAGACCTGGAGCCACTGACTCCAGGGCACTTCCTAGTCGGTGGACACATACTAGCTCCACCAGAAATAGACGCCGATGAAAATCGTGCTTCGATCGTAAATCGATGGCAAAGATTAAAGGCTCTTCACCACATGTTTTGCAAAAGGTGGAAATCTGAATACCTATCAGAGCTCCAGAAACGCAATAAATGGAAATATCCACAAACTAATATGAGAATTGGAGACCTTGTTATAATCAAAGAAGACAATCTGCCACCAAATGAATGGAGGCTTGGGAGAGTGATCAACCTACACCCAGGTCCGGACAACAGGGTATGAGTGGTGGATATCAAACCGACAGAGGCCAGATCACAAGACCTTTGGTAAAATTAGTCCTACTTCCGCCTTACAGTGAACAAGACGAGGAGTCAACTACCTCGTCTTAAACCAATCTTCTTTTTTTTTAGGATTGACCAAGGTCAACAATATAACATATATATGTGAAATGCAAAATAGTTATATATATATCTATGAAAGTTGCCTCTTTAATTCATAAAAATCATAGATGCTTAAAGTACCCGCTTAAGGATTGTATCAAAGTTCTTTGCAATGCTAGATAATATAAATTTAATACATTTCGAAAATGCATGTCGAAGATACATATGTATGTATGCGAGCGTGGAATTATCGAATTTCAACTCCAAGCAGTTTGGTGAGTCATAACTATTATATCTGTTGCCTTGTTTGTACCTACGCAAGAACCGCAGTAACAAAAACCACAGTACTTGGCAAATATGGGGCACGTTCAGAAGGCGCAACAGCTCAGTAACTGTGTCACGGGTGTCACTTTATAGCGAACTAGGTACACAAGCATGGCGCCCACATTAGATAAATCAAAGCACACTGTCAGAAAATAAACCCCTCTTAATTATATATATCCATATACTACTTATAATTATATGCAGATGCATGCATTTATAGCATACTCAAACTCACTCACCCCATCACTTATTCGTTGCCGCCCTCCAATATTTTTTAAAAAACTCAGTAGTACGCTCTACGCTCCAACGTTGACGGACAGCGGCATTTGTAACGTAGGTTTTCAGCAGAATCTTCAACGTCTCTCACGACTTCATACACAATCGTATACCATAGCCCGATTTGCATTACTCAGTTCCGAATCTGTAGTAAAACTCTTGCATCCCAATGAAATAATTACCGGCTCGGCATATGTACAACAACCATCATATCACTGGACATACATATATATATATACATACATAGATTGCTGGTTAGAATCTAAACATGTTTGCGCACTGATACATATATATGTACATTTATGCGTTTGTACGAAGTAAGGATCCCTACCCTGCCAGAACAGTTTACTGAGTGGAATAAAATTTTCGTTTACAAATCCCAAAGTCAATCACAAAATACTTCAGAATCGCCAATCAGCAGAAGCTAGGAAATTTAATAAACTCACACGCATACCAAGATGTAGTGGTATACGTAGGTCTGTCACTGTTATTAGGAATAAATAGAAACTTTACCATACATACCAGGTAAAGCTACCCATAGCATACGGTGACAGGTAATAAGGTCAATGGAAATAAGGTCAATTGACTTTATTTCCCACCCTGGTGCGAAATAAAGTCAATTGACATTATTACCTTTTCAAAAGCGAAATAAAGTCAACAAAAATTTGGAAATAAAGTCATTGACGCTATTTCCTCATTCAAATGGAAATAGCGTCAACAATGCTTAAAGTATGTCGATTCATAGAAAAAAAT